TATATCCATCCTTCCCTTCATAGAGTTCAGTATACTGTCAAAACCATTTGATTCCCCCTCTTTTTTGGGGGGGAGAGGTTTTTGCTATAGGGCATGTGCGCTCGCCAGAGAGACAAGAGACATAGAGACAGAAAGTGAGAAATCACCCCCTAGGGGGGATGGTCACACCGCAATCCCTTCTCCTCTCGGGATCTTGGGCACGCATGCACATGCGCCCGGCATGAGTTTTAAGCCACCGGGTCCGGGACGCGAACCGTGGTTGACTACGTGGGAGTCCAGCGACATGGCCATTACGCTAACCACTGGTTCCTCCCACTTGATTTTAAGAGCTTTTCTTTCTTTCCTTTTTTTCAAGAGGTTTTTGCCTTCGAGTATGTGTGCTTGCCAGAGAGGGAGACAGACAAAGTAAGAGGGAAAAGTGAGAAATCAACCTCCACGGGGATGGCCATGCCACATTCCCTTCTCCTCCTAGGATCTTGGGGTGGGCGCGCGTGTGCATGCACACACACGTACCCTGTGTGTTTCAAGTCAATGGATCCAGGACTTAAACTGTGGTGGGCCATGTGAGAGTCCAGCAGCATAACTGCTACGCCATCTGCTGGCCCCAAGAGCTTTTCTTTTAATAAAACATAACAAGTCAAATTGTGTGTGCCTACTTTCCTAGATAGCAAAACTTATGGGGAAGAATGGGTTTGCTTCTAAAAGTCTTAAAACTCTGTTCTGTGCAATAATGTAAACACAGGCAAAACAAAACAAAACTGCATCCATGTGGGAGTACAGTGCCCTAATATGCCACCCAGTGGCCCCAAATTCCTAGTTTTCATTTGCTTATCTAATTCATGTAATAGCTAGTCAGGACTCTCTAATTTTTAACTGATGCATAACTTACTCTATATTTTTTTTTAAATACACTTCTTTGGGACCAGAAGGTGGCATGAGGTTAAGGTGCTAGACACTCCCACATGGCCAACCATGGTTCGAGTCTCAGACCTGGTGGCTTGCTTTCTCACTTTCCCTCTCTCTCTCTGTGTTTCTCTCTGGTCAAATTAAAATAAAATGAATGAATAAATAAAATAATCCTTTTAAAAAAGAAAATTTAAAAAAGTACATTTCCTGGGACCAGCAGTTAGCATAATGGCTATGTCACTGGACTCCCACATAGTTGACCATGGTTCGAGTCCCGGACCCGGTGGCTTAAACTCACGCCGGGTGCGTGTGCATGCGTGCCCAAGATCCCGAGAGGAGAATGGAGGAGAAGGGATTGTAGCATGGCCAGCCTCCCTGGGGGGTGATTTCTCGCTTTCTATGTCTCTGTCTCTGTCTGGCGAGCGCACGCGCCCTATAGTAAAAACCTCTCCAAAAAAAATGTACATTTTCTTATGATAGTGAGAGATGGAGGAAGAGAGAGAAAGAGAAGGACAGCCACCTTCAACAGTCTTTTACTGTGATACCTACCCCCAAACCTTTTCATACAGGAAGCATCATGAGCACATGTGCACCCAGTATATACAGGTTGACCAGGGCACTGAACCTATAATCTGCACCATGGAGTTAGCCTTTATACTCTTTCAAAAAACAACAGATATGTATACTAGATGGCCAGAAAAGTATTTGGAATCACCCAGTGTTTAGTCCCATATTTTCTCAGTTAGGTTTTAAGAAATGAGCAGGTTAAGTAATTAGCCACAATCTAAATTACTCATACATTGTTGAAAACAGAATTCATCATCACTGTGCATAAGAGATAATTAAGCGATAAATCTCAAACAACAGGTAGTCACAATGCCTGGCTATTATATAAAATGCATCTCAAGGACCAGAAATGAGTTAAGACTGTGTTTTTCTAAAGCTGCACTTAATTCATGTAATTATAGTATTTGCCAATAAGCCTATTGCAAAATATGGGGACCAGCAGATGGCGTAATGGCTATGTCACTAGACTCCCAGTTCGTCGATCGTGGTTCAAGTCCCGGAACAGGTGGCTTAAACTCATGCCTGGTGCGTGTGCATGTAAGTGCTTGCCAAAGATCCCAAGAGGAGAACGGAGGAGAAGGGATTGCGACATGGCCATGCCCTGTGGGGTGTGTGTGTGTGATTTCTCACTTTCTGTCTCTCGCTCTCTTTCTGACGAACACATGAGCCCTATAGCAAAAATAAATAAATAAATAAATAATAAAAACTCTCAAAAACAAACAACAAAAACAAAATACACAAAATGTCACACCAAGTGTTATAAAAAGCATTTATGATCTACTACTACGGATCTGAAAACGCTACTTAATTCCAAAGCAGTGATTTGTTTTACTTTCCTCCTTAAACTTTGTTTTAATGTGTCTCAAAATTCAGTGACAGATTTTTAGTCAAGTTGTTTCCATTAAAAATAACTGATTTTAAAACTAGTAACATGGGCCAGCCAGTAGCATGATGGTTAAGGCAGCTGGATCTCACATGACTATGTGGTTTGAGCCCCGGACCCAGAGGCTTGAAAAACATGCTGGACTCCTGCCCACGTGCCCAAAATCCTGGGAGGAGAATGGAGAAAGGATTGTGCTCCCCGGGGGTTTGGGGGGTACTTTCTCCCTCTCCCCTCAGCAAGCAAGCATACATGCCCTGTAGCAACCACTCCCCACAAAAAAACTAATAACTAAAAACTAATATCCATACAAAATGGTCCTTTTCCTTTCCTTCTGAAGTTTTCACAATGCACTATTACCATTAGCTAGCCTTTCACTATTACGCTTAAGTTGCCAGTAGAGACAAAACTGTTATCATTAATCTGTCTTTTACAACTAAATGGTCAAGTAAGACAAATGGTTCTAAGACTGTTCTTCCACCAATTAAGACCATGGTTGTAGGTAGTAGGGATGTTCATTTAGCCTTCCAAGCTTTCTAGGCGGACTTATTGACTTTGCCATTTCCATCAGATTTCTTGTCCATGGCTATGATGACACCGCAGCAACTGTTTGTCTCATGTCACAAATCGAAAAACAATCCAGAGAAGAAAAGTCAGAAAAGCTCTCAATACAGATGGGCTTGCCAGGAACCATATCAATGACATTAGCACCAGTTGATTTCAAGAATTCAGGGCCATCTTCTAGATTCTTTCTAGAACAGCGATTGATCTTTTCCTTCAGCTCAGCAAACTTGCAAGCAATGTAAGCTATGTGACAATCCAGTATAGGCATAGCCTGTGCCAATTTGACCTGGATGATGTAGGATAATCACCTTAATAGTGAAGCTAGCTGCATCTATTAGGTGGGTCACTGTTGCTGCCACCAGCAACACTGTTATGACAAACATCTTTGACAGACACATTCATGACATTGAAACTGTCTGCAGAAAATGCTTAACTCAAAGCTTCACGGTGCATTTCAATAGACTTCGGTTGTCATACTGACCAGAGCAAAGGTGACCGCCATACCGGGTCTGAGAACACCAATCTCCAACTGGTCCACAGGGCCAATGTCAATATCACCAATTTTATATACATCCAAGAAGAGACGCAAGGCCTTGTCAGTTGGATGAGTTGGTGGTAAAAAGCAATCCAGAGCTTTGATTGGTGTAGTTCCTCCACAGGCACTGCCATTTTTACTGGTGACTTTCTATCTCTTGAACCAAGGCATGTTAGCAATTGGCTCCAGTATGTTGTTTCATTCCAATAAGAAATTGTCACAAATACTACTGTGCTAGGATTCTAGACAATTTTCTTAATGTAGGTTCTGATTTCCTAAACAATTTTCTCTTTATGACTGTAGGTTGGCTCAGTATGACCCAGTTTGTTAACAATAAGTAGTCATTTCACATCTACTGTGTAAGATAAAAGGGTATGCCTATAATGATGGGGTTTTTTTTTGGGGGGGGGGAGGTTTTCGCTATAGGGCGCGTGCGCTCGCCAGACAGAAAGAGACAGAGAGACAGAAAGCGAGAAATCACTCCCTAGGGGGGATGGGCACGTCGCAATCCCTTCTCCTCCATTCTCTTCTTGGGATCTTGGGCACGTACGCACACGCGCCCAGCGTGAGTTTTAAGCCACCGGGTCCAGGATGCAAACCGCGGTCGACTACGTGGGAGTCCAGAGACATAGCCATTACACTAACTGCTGGTCCCCCTATAATGATGTTTTTGATAAAGTCTCTATGTCCTGGGGATCAGTGATAGTCACATAATACTTGGTCTCAAATTTCTACAAGGAGGTATAAATGGTGATACCGTACTCATGATCAGCTTTAAATTTATAAAGACTCACACATACTTAAAAGAATCCTTTCCCATCTCAGCAGCCTCCTCAATTTTTCAGATTCTTTTGTCAACCCCACCACATTTTGTAGACAAGAAGTCAGTAAAGATGGACTTACTTGGGCCCAGCAAGTGGCATGGTGGTTGAGGGCACTAGACTCCCATATGGCTGATAGCCGACTATGGTTCGAATCCCGGACCTGGTGGCTTTCTTTCTCGTTTTCCCTCTCTCTCACTTTGTGCCTCTCTGGTAAAATTAAAATAATAAATAAAAGTTAACTAAAATAATTCTTAAAAAAAAAAAGATTTAAAATTATTTCTGACTG